TTTTCGACCTTGAAAATGCCAGATGATCTCTCTGAGCTTTGGTTTGTTCACCTAAAAATAGTCATGATATCTCCCTCACAGGGTACTCGAGAGGATGAAAACACAACATAAGAGAAAACTCTAGCCAAGCCAAACACAATTGGGCTGGGAGTGAGGGTGATAGAGAGTAGTAGTGCTGGGGTGGGGAGGGGATTGAAGTGGGTGGGTTATTCTAAATTGCTTTAGACCTCAAACTCTGTTGTTCTGTGAGTCTGTCATCTATGGAGAAGAGGGGGCCACATGGGGGAGTCACTTAGGTGCAATTAATGATGCTTAAATTATTTGATAATTTAACCTCCTAGAGAAAGGCACAGCTAGAAGCAGGACACCCTGTTCAACTCAGTGTTGGTAACAAGGATTAAAAACTTACATGGCATAGAGCCTAGGACAGGGTCAAGGTCAGCCTTTCATAAAAATCAGTTCCTTCCCCTCCCGCTTTTCCAGAAAGAACACTTCAAATAAAAACCGACAATGATTTTAAAACAGGCCTTCAGCAGCTGATCTATAGCTCTACCAAAGCGGAGATGAATCAACTTGTTGCTGTTGCTAATTTTAACACCTTATCCAACATCAACACATTGATTTAGCCTGCCTAAGTTTGCCAGTTTCCAGAGAATTACATAGGTACTTTTAGAAAATGATTTAAAAGCCCCATCCTAACTTTGAGAAAGGTTTGTTTGTGATGGTATATGTTGTGTCTTTAACAATCACCAGACTGATTCCAGCTTCATCCAAAAACACATTTTCTAGCTCAATTTTCATACCCTGTAGCTGTGTATTGGTGTTTAATGAAATGGTAAAAATAGAGTCACAGTGGGGATGTTAAGCTCTCTTTTCTTTTCAAATGTTATTGTAGATACAGTTGCGGGAATAATGCAGGGATTTTTGGTTTTATGTAAGTGTTCTTTTTTTTTTTTAAACCAAGGTCTGATTGACATATAATATTATATTAGTTTCAGGTATACAGAATAATGATTTGATATCTGTATACATTGCAAAATGATCACTGCAGTAAGTGTAGTTAAATCTGTGTCACCATACATAGTTAAAACATTTTTTTCTTGTCATGACAAAAGTGTTCTTCTTAAATAACAAATACTGTTATTTGGTAGCCTCCCGCAAGACTAATGAAAGAATTGGAATGAACACTTTTTTAAGATTTTTTGAATTTATTCATTTGAGAGAGAGAGCCAGCTGAGCAGGGGGAGGGTTAGAGGGAGAGGGAGAAGCAGACTCCCCGCTGAGCAGGGAGCCTGATGCAGGGCTCAATCCCAGGACCCTGAGATCATGACCTGAGCTGAAGGCAAACGCTTAACTAACTGGCACCCCATGAACATTTCTTTTGAACTAACTAACCACCGAAAGATAGATAATATCTTTAGTTATTAGCAAAAGGAAATAGATGAAAAGCCTGCTATTGTGTTAATTACTAAAAAAATTTCAGGAGACATTGTTTTCACTGAAGGTTTGTAACTAAGTGCCTCAGTTCTTCATTTAAATCTTCTAAGATACACCTGTACTCTTGGAATAAAACACTTGCATATGTGGTAACTAACATCTTCTTGGTCAGCAATTCAGATGTAACAAACAATTCTCCCTTGCTGTACTATGCGGTGTTAGAAGACAAGGAAAAATGCATTCATCCCAATTCTTAAGCAGCTTATTTCTTCAAAGAAATGAAAATTTGTGTTTATATTGGCAGCTCTGTCACAATTATAGTCTATCCCCCAGCCTGGTTATTATGGAAAGTCCAACTTATAAACACTGTTAATATCCTATTCTATTTCAACCTCCCTGGATCATAACCTCATGAGGAAGACCATATATGATTTATCTGAATATCTGAATTTCTGCAGCTGTTGCCAGTGATCACACTTTTTGGGTACTCACTGATAAGACCAGAAGTAAAATGACCTATTATAATGATTATCTTTTTACCCTTTTTATGCCTTTTATTAGCATTTGGTTAGAAAGATCAGCTGTATTTGAAGATTCTCCTGGTCTCATATTTTAGCAGAATCATTGTGTTAATTGCTGTTAAACACCACATTAAATCCCTCATTGCAGCCAACCAATCAATGTTTGTTGAGGCCCTATATATAGGTATATGGCATGTTCTAGGCAGTATGAGGATACACAATAGAAGATACTGACTGGTCCTAAAAAAAGGTATTGCTCATTAAGAAATATATATATACTGGAAAATTATATCAAAACGGTGCATGATATAGTTGCTAAGTGAGTGATACAGATATTATGTTTGACTCGAATGGCAAGTAGCCTTTAAGTTCCAAATTTATGAAGTGCTACTCTGCATATAAAATATTTCAGAAAAATAAGTAAACCTGTAATTACAAAGGCAAAATTCATATTACATACGGTAGGCAAGTTAGGGGTATATTTATGCTTATATTGTGCTATAGCTTTGAGCCTTTTTATGGCCTTCTGTTACAGGGTATGTTCTGAATGAAGGACTCTTGATGATCTTTTGTCAATTGTTACTCAATGCTGAGCATTCGAGATGGAAATATTTTCTTTATTGGGGATATAAATATTTAATCAGATGCTTTTCATAATGGCTTCTTCGTCTATCAGAATCATTATAAACTGGACAAGTAGAAAAGAAAAAGAGAGAAAGGGCATCCATATTGGGAAGGAAGAAGTAAAACTATCTCTGCAGATGACATGATCTTGTATATAGAAATTCCTAAAGAATCCACACAAAAAAGCTATTAAGAGCTAATAAGTGAGTTCAGCAAGACTGAAGAACATAGGATTGATATACAAAAATAAACTGGTTCTTTCAGTGAACTATCAATCCAAAAATGAAATTAAGAGAACAATTCCATTTAAAATAGCATCAGAAAGAGTAAAAGGAGTGAGGCTTGTATACTGAAAACTACAAAAGATTGTGAAACAAATGAAATGAGAACTAAATAAGTGGAAAGACATCCCATGTTCATGGATTAGAAAACTTAACATTATTAAGATAGCACTAGTCCCCAGACTGATCTACAGTTTCAGCACAATCCCTATCAAAATTTCAACTGCCTTTTTTTTTTACAGAAATTGACAGGCTGGTTCTAAAATTCATATGGGATGCAAGGGATCCAGAATAGCCAAAACAATCTTGAAAAGGAACAAAGTTTGGAAAAATTCACCCTTTTCAATTTCAAAACTTACAACAAAGCACAAGTAATCAAGACTCTGTGGTACTGGCATAAGAATAAACACATAGTAGGGTAGAATTGAGAGAAATAAACTCATACATTTATGGTTAGTGGATTTTCAACAGGGTGCCAAACAATTAAATGGAGTAAGAATAGTCTTCAATAAATGGTGCTAGGACAAATGGTTATTCACGTGCAAAAGAATGAAGTTAGATCATTAGCTCACATCATACACAAAATTAACTCAAAATGAATCAGACCTAAATGTTCCCACTAAAACTAAAACTATAAAACTCTTAGGAGAAAACATTCATGGGTTAGGCAATGGTTTCTTAGTTGTAATACCAAAAACATAACGCACTGAAGAAAAATTAGATAAGTTAAACTTCATCAAAATTAAACACTTTTGTACTTCAAAGGACACAGTCAAGAAAATGAAAAGAAAACGCATAGAATGGGAAAAAATATTTGCAGATCATATATTCACAAATCCAGAATAAATATAGCACTTTTAAAACTCAATAATAAAGAGACAAATAACCCAGTTTTAAAATGGGCAAAAGATTTGAACAGACATTTCTCCAAAAAAAATATACAAATGTCCAATAAGTACATGAAATATGCTCAACGTCATTAGTCATCAGGGAAATGCAAATCAAAACAATGAGATACCACTTCACATCCATTAGGATGGCTATTAAAAAAAAATGGGCAATAACAAGTGTTGGCAAGGATGTGGAGAAATTGGAACTCTCATGAATTGCTGGTGGAAATATAAAATGGTGCAGCTGCATTGAAAGCAGTTTGGCAGTTCTTCAAAAAATTAAACAGAATTACCATATGATCCAGCAATTCCACTCCTAGGATATATACAAGGTGATTCAAAAACAAATGTCCACACAAAAACTTACACACAAATGTTCATTGCAGCATTATTCAGAGTAGCCAAAAATTGGAAACAATCCAAATGTCCATCAGCTCATGAATGCATAAACAAAATATGGTATATCCATACAATGTGATATTATTCGGCCATATGAAATAGTGAAGTACAGATTCATACTACAATATGGATGAATCTTGAACACATTATGCTAACTGAAAGAAGCCAGACACAAAAGGTCACATATTATATGATATTATTTATAAGAGATGTCCGGAATGCTATAGGTGAAAACCATAGAGACAGAAAGTAGATAAGTGGTTTCATGGGACCAACGTAGTGAGGGTAATGAAAAGTGAGTGCTAATGGGTATGGAGTTTCTTTCAGGGGTAATGAAAATGTTCTGCAATTAGATAGACGTGATGGTTGCACAACTTTGTGAATACATTAAAACCACTGAATTGTACACTTTGAAAGGGTGAGTTGTATTGTGAGTTTTTATTTATGTCTCAATTTTTAGTTACTATATTTTGTCCATGATCACTCTACAAACTGAGTTCTAATAAAGCATAATATAACTTGCAAAAGCATATTGTCATCAAAGCACATATTTATATATTTTGTTCCTAAGAAGAAACAAAAGAAGCTTCATAATTAGTCTCATGGTTGACCTGAAATTTTACCAGTTTTAAGTATCAGTGCAGAGAGAGAGAGAGAGAACAAGTCCAGGATTTCTCTCAAGTTAAATTATGAAGGTAAAACATGAGTTCATTTCTTTTGTTCTCCCATTGACTTGTCATGGACCCTTCTCATTTAGACTGATTAGACATTTGTTGTTCTGAAGTTGAGGGAAGAATCCCAGTTACTCTAACCCAAAGTCTCACATTTGCTCTCTCGTTCTTTCCCAGGTGCTACCTTTCCCCAGCCAGGTGGTGTACAACAGAGTAGGCAAGTGTGGGAGTCGTACTGTGGTCTTGCTTCTGAGAATCTTGTCGGAAAAGCACGGATTCAATTTGGTCACGTCAGACATTCACAACAAAACCAGGCTTACTAAAAATGAACAAGTAAGTTGTCTTTGCCCATGGTTAGATTGTACTTTTGTGTCAATTCATTTGTGTAATTAGTGGGTGTCTTACGAGACATCCCTCAAACACCTAACAAATGAATACCAGAGTTGCAATGTCATACTGTATTTTTGCCAGAGTATGGAAGGAAATTTAAGTTAAAGGTTCTGAAGGAAGTCTTTAGACAGGAAGTTTCCCTGAAGAGATACGTTTATCAAGATGGATGAAGGACAGGGTACACTCCTCATTGTCTATTTAGCTAAAATTGACAATGCATGATTCTCAAATAATTACACCACTGAGCTACAAATAAGGCTGACGTCCTGACAACGAAAATAAGAAAACTATTTTAATATTTCTTTTTCTGCTTTTTTCTCCACAATTGCCCTAAGTCTTTGTGGTTATAATAAAGAGAAAGTTCTCTTTGGGCCAGGAATCTGATTGGTTGATAGGAGCATGAGCTTCTTGCTAGGGGTGAGCTCAGGGGGTCTTGAATTACCCCATTTCCCAGGAAGAATTCTGCCTCAGTGTGATCGAGCCATACCAGTGAACGTGCTGGCAGTGGGTTCGGGGTGCTGTCGTCTGCCAGGAAGCTGTGAGACAGATTTTACTCTGTACGTGTCTACAAAAGCAGGGCCAACAGTCTCCATTGAGGTCCTTTGCTCATGTACAAAAGTTAGGCTCAGGGCTCTCACGGTCATTGTATAGGGTTAGGTTTATTAGCTTGGTCTTAACAAGTTGCTTTTGTCCCCTTAGATACTTAGAATGGATAGCAACCAGCATAAGTCAGAGTTCTTCAGACAACAGAACCAGTAGGATGGAGATATCTATATCAATAGATAGATGATAGATAGATAGATAGATAGATAGATAGATAGATAGATAAAGTAGATAGATAAAACGGGAGTTATTATGAGGAATTGGCTCATGCAATAATGGAGGCCAGTAAGTCCCACAGTCTGCCATCAACCAGCTGGAGACCCAAGAAAGCCACTGGTGTAATTCAGTCAGTCCAAATATGAAGGTGTGAGAACCAGGGGAGTCAATGATGTAAATCCCAATGCAAGGGGAGGAGAAGATAAGATGTGATATCCCAGCTTAATCAGTGAGGCAGGAAAAAAGTGGGGAATTCCTTCTTCCTCTGCATATGTTTCTATTCAGGACTTTAAGGGATTGGACGATGCCCACCCACACTGGGTAGGGTGGTCTGCTTTACTAATTCCACTGATTCAAATGCTAATCTCATCTGGAAACACACTCACAGACACACCCAGAAATATTATTTAATCTAGCTGACACATAAAATTAACCATCACACCACCCAATGAGTACAGAAATTTGGGGAATAAACAAGGCACAGGGTTTACTATCAGATTGAAACCATAGTGAGGGAAATTTTTACCCATGTCCACTTCTTTCTGACACAATCCTCACCTCTGAGGCATTCAAAACCTCCCAAACAGAAGGAATCTCATTATTAATTTATGATAGCCTGTCTTTCTCTTTTATCTTGGGGGATAGTAAGACTCTTTTAAGACAGTAAGATAACTAGTCATACTCACCGTAAAGCCAGAATGTTCAGTGTCTTCCAGTGTAGAGATCAAAAAGCCCCTTCCGTTGAAAACTTCCATTAAATGCTCTCTGAGTATCAAGTTTGAATAGTCATTTCCAATCAACAAAAAATATTTTGAGATCAGCCCTTATAGGTTGTGTAGTAGGCTCTCAATAGAAAAATTACACTTGTTGGGACGCCTGGGTGGCTGAGTTGGTTAGGCGACTGCCTTTGGCTTGGGTCATGATCCCAGGGTCCTGGGATCAAGCCCCACATCGGGCTCCCTGCTCCACGGGAAGCCTGCTTCTCCCTCTCCCACTCCCCCTGCTTGTGTTCCCTCTCTCGCTGTGTCTCTCTCTGTCAAATAAATAAATAAAATCTTTAAAAAAAAAAAAAAGAAGAGAAAAATTACACTTGGTGACATTTAAGGATATCACATTTTATAAATAACTTGAACAGGACTAGGTTCTCTTTCATTTCCTTAGCTGACCGAAAAGCTCATCCTATCAGGCCAGTTATGCCCTTGACACTGCCTGAAAGAAAGTGACTGTAAATAATTAGCCTATGTTATTGCAATTTTATTACAATTATTAAATTTGGTTTTCTTTGGAGTCTAGGTCTTTGGGTCTGTGTATCAGATTATATTTAAATATTCCTATGCATGGAAACTATGCCCACTTCTCAGATGTCTCATAAGACACTGCAGGTTGATTTTAGTGCCCACTGCCGAAAGGGTACAAACAACCCAGAGAACAGGATGAAGGTAACCACGGTATGAGACACTGTGATGTTTGGGAATGCCCTAGAAGAGAAAGGACAAAATATGGTGTTTGAACTGGGGCTTTGCACCTACTTTGTTTCCTATGAGAAGCAAACATGAGAAAGTAAAATAGGGTTGTAACTGTCAAGAGAAGCATGTTAGATTTAAAAATAACAATGATTTCCTAATGGTATATACATTGTTAAATCCAGAAAGGGTTAAAACAAAGTCTTCCTCCTCCTCTAAAAGAGAGGTTAGCTCTCATCTGTTTGGAATGGTTGGCTTGTCTGGAAGCCAGGGAACAGACTAGACAATCTTTTAAGGTTCTTTCCAGCCCTGTGATTCTGTGATATATTTATACAACTTCTAGCATAATCTGTGTATGGTGTAGTTGAAACACTTCTGATTCCTGTGGTCAGTGTGACCTAGAATATATTGCATTACTTCATGATTCCAGATTCCTATTAAATTACAAGGCAAGTCTTAAAAACTGCAGGGAATGATAAGGTAGGAAAAAACAAACAATTTGGCTGTGATAACAAATGTAGCGAGTGACAGCCGCCTCTCTGTGGCTAGCTGACTGGTGCGACATGCAGAGAGAGCCAAGAAGTGACAAGAACCCAAGTTTCAAGAAGCTCGAGAATGCTTGAAGGAACTCTTTCCCCTGTTATATGCATCCCTTGTGCTCAAGTTACAGAGTGCATAAAACAAGCAGAGAAAAAAATATTACTTTAACCTAATATATTCAAGAAATAATTTGCAGTAAGAATAGCTCCTCTGCTTGGTAATTTATTAAAGGAAAAAGGAAGATGAGATTTCGGAGATGAGTTAACATTTTACAGTCAGTGGTTCTCAACCTTTAAGCTGGGGAGCTCTGACAACATGTTCCCATGGAAACACTGTTCCCCATAGCTAATAACAATCCCACTTCAGGTGCAGCATGAGTTAAACAGGCCCTTGTGGGCTGGCCCGGTCTCTCTCCACCATGTAGAACATTTCTTTTAGGAGAAAATGTGCTCCAAGTTCCCAACTACTGATTTAACAAATGAACTTTGGAATAATATCCACTCATAAGACTGGAATTATCTATACCATTCCACTCATACACAAAGGCACTTCTCTGGGCCAGAGTCAAATTTGTGCATACGTTTCTCCCTGGAGGATAGCTGTCATTACACAAACACACACACACACACAAACGCGCACGCAGAGTACTAAGTTTAACTAAGTCTATTTAATGGAATAAGACACTGAAGGGATTATTATAAAGGAAAGGGAGCACAAAGACACCAAATGTTACAATGCCCATAAAAATCCCATCACATCTGCCCTTAAAGAAACAGAAAGACCACAGAAGTTTACATTTTTAAAACTCTACCTCAACAGAAGAGCGTGGACACCTGCTGCTGGCCAAATGCTGGACCTTTTCAGGGCATAGGATACAAGCCCATGATGACATTATCTCATTTATACGCTGAAACCAGATTTCAGTTTCTTGGGCTGGTTTAGATGATCTCTTAGAAAATCAGAAAATGGAGATTATATGCAATTGGAAAGATAGGGAACTATTTTCCAGAAGACATGAGTGTGATCGTCAAAAGACTCGTAACCATCTTTGTTAATGGTCTGACACTCTTTCAGATCATCACTCTGAGTACAGTGAAAGTCAAAGTGCACCACAGGCACATCATGGATATAAAGGATTCAAAATGATTTCATTCTTGTGGGAAAGGGGCAGAAATTGTTAGCATAGGTGTCAAAGAGATCAAGAAAACAAATAATTTTACTATTTTTATTTAAGTCAGAGCTACTGAGAATTGCAAATTGGAAACGACACCTACCACATGCTATTATTTTACTTCATTACTTCATTTCATTCTTTTGGACTGAAAATCATACCAGTGAGTGGGTATAATTCTTTATTTTGTGGATGGGAAAATTAAGACAACCAGATTAAGTCACTTTCCAAATGAAATCTAATAGAATGTCTGTGCTGCTTGGACTTGAACCTAGGTCTTCTTGAATCCAAAGCCATTCTTCTGGCTGCAGGGCAGAATCTCCACCAGAGCCTTTTGAAACACATAGTTGCAGTGGCCCTTCTCCTAGAGATTCTGGGATGGAGTTGAGAAAACTTCATATTTTTTTTAATGAAATGTCATAGAGGGTTAGGAATCCTGTCAAAACTATCATATCAGCATTTCCTTAGGTATGTTCCCAAAAATCTTAATCCCCTGAGACCCTGGAAAAAAAATTTTTTTTTAAAGAAAATACCATGGTTAAATAAATTTAGGGAATGCTACCCTTAGCTCCCTTTCTGGGAGATTTATATCAATTGCTCTCATTTTAAAGACTGAGAATTCTTTCAGCTAAAAACCAAATTAGCAATCTATTGAACCGGCTTTCCCCTAGAGTTTCCCAATCTTCGTTGGCCAGGGGAGGCTGAGAGCTTGTGGCTGTCACGTGCATCCCACAGAACCCTCACTCCCAGCTTGGAAAGTGCTGCACCAGCGTCTTCTGTCATTTCTGCCCATTATGCCAGGAAAGGCTACTCTTTCACTATAAACTTCACATCTGCTTTGACTCTCATCAACAGCTATTCAGATTATCCAAACCTTGAAAAGTATTCAAAGGGAAGAGACTGAGCCCCTGTGCCCGTGCGCTCTAGCCTGCTTTTGCCTCTTGGTCAAA